GTGGGAGAACTTGCACAATTGGTGGCTGACTAAATACTTTTTTGCCCCACTGTATTTACCATTCATTGCTCCACATCCCAGGTGCAGTCAATTTGTTGGAAAAATCTATTTGTCTGTGTTCCTATTAAAATACAAAATATCATTTTGGGTCATGAACTGAATGCTGAATGTGTTTGCTTTTTTTGTGTGTGTGTTATATAACAGCTTCTCTGGAGAAAGAATCTACAGTTACAGACAAATATAGATCAAAAGTAGTGGAGAAACCTCCTTTGTCTTCTGTATCCATGAAAAGGCAGGTTGGCTGTTCAGAAGATTATCTTCTCTCCAAGTTCCCACCAGATGGCAAAGAAATACCCTTTGTAGTTCCTCAGTTCAAGCTTGCTTACATCCAACCCAGGAACCTTGGTAATCCACATCTTGGCGGACTTCAAGGTAAAAAGTTGAAAGAGTGTGAAATTAATGTTTCTTTTTAAGGGGCTGTCTTTAGATGCATTGTAGACTTGCTTATGCAGTTGATTACCAGTTCACTACTAGAAGCAGTTCAAATTGCTAATTATGACTTAGGATCAAACTATATAGATACATGCTGCAAAAAGTGACTCATCCTGTAAGATGGAGTCACTTTTTGGTGGAGAATCTTCCTTGGGTTTTGTCATCAGTCCCCTCTACACATACAGCATCGAAACAGCAGCAGGCCCATTGAGGCTCTTTAAGCTTTCAGGAATAAAGTAAAAATACAGCTTTTCCCCATAGCTTTTGTTAGTTTTATTTGATGTTTTTATTTGGTTCTGACCCTTTTGGATCAATGTTTTAAGTGTGCATATAAAGTATCTTTTTAATTTTAATTTTAAATGAACATTATAGTTTTAATCTTTTTCCTAATTATTTTTGTTAGTTGTTTTTGAGTGCAGCTTAGTAAAAAGCAAGATCAAAAATAGTAAATATTGTAATAGCTGTTTTATTCTAAAGTAGTAATCCCTGTCTGCATCTACAATGAATTGTCGGTTATTAAAGTATGGATTTTTTCTCACTGTTTTGGATTATTCTGTGACTTCAGGGAAGTCTGTCCTACCCACCACTTGTTAACCTAAAGTGCATTTCATGTAACCATTTGTCCAAGAAGGAAAGCTCCTGTCTACTACTGGGATTAGTTTTAGTCTTTTTATTCTTTAAACATGCAGGTCAAACATTTTTTTAAAACTCTTGTTTTTTCAGATGATCGTTTTTATTCCAACTGCATGGCTTAATCTGAACTGGATGATAGAGCAAAGGTCTTGTTTCAGACAGATATAGTTCCCTTCTCATGACAATATGCTCTTTTGTCTGTACTTCTGAACTTGCTATCCTTACTTGTCCCTGGAGTCTATTGAATGAAAGAACAGTATCTTATTGTAAAACGCATGTACTTCAAGGACTCTCAGAGTAGAGAGTTGTGCAAGCCAAGAGGTTTAGTGTACAATGTATTCTTGGCCTTGCAATCTAAAAAAAGCTCAGATGTTTTGTGTTACTGGAAATTTTAGCTCTCAAATATTTAAAAGTCATCGTTTTAACCATGTAACAATTCCAGAATAAAAGGCTTACACATTAAAAGATAATCTGCACCTGCGGTTTTATAATATAGAGCACTGTTTCCCAAACTTGGCAACTTTAAGATGTATGGACTTAATTCCCCAGGGAATTCCCAGAATTCCCAGAATTCCCCTGGGAATTGAAGTCCACACATCTTAAAGTTCCCAAGTTTGAGGAACATTAATATAGAGGATAAGTGCAATTTCTTGTTTTTCTGAAATGCTCAGCTGAAGCACTTCTAAACATTGTTACCATAATGATGAATTTGATCATGAAAGTGAATTGAGATGACCCTTGTGTCCACTTTGCTCCTTTAATGATGAGAAGAGAAATAGTCCGGAAAGCCACTGTTTCCTATTTTACCTGAAATTAGAACAATGTTGAATAGTTTCTAACCATCTAAAATAAGCCATGTTCTAAAGTTAGCTTCTTTATATTAGGGTTGTTTTTTTTAAATAATTAACTGTAATTTCCACTTGGGATGAAACTGGTTGCCGAGGGTGATTCTGACTGCCTGTAAACTGAAAAGCAAAGCAATTTACAAGTATGTTTATTTATTTGTGTAATTCAGAAGCTGCCCAACTCCACAAGACTCTTATGGGCGAAAATTCATTCACATTAGCTAATCTGTGGTTGGGTTTTCATAATACATCTTGGAAATTTAGAAGTAAAAACAGCTTTATAACTTAGAAAATATGTCAGAGGAAAGACGCATGGCGACAAGAACACCCACATGCTTCCTTCCCTCATTTACAGCAGGGTGCTGCTGTTAGTTTCTTCAGTGTGTCAGTCCTTTAAAAAGTGACCAGGTAAAGAGAAAATCGTGGCAGTGTGAAGAGGGAAGTTGGAGATCCAAAGAATGAAAGAAGAGAAAAGTGACTGAAGGCAAAAGAAAGAAATACTGAATAGGAAGGCAACAGCAGAGCAGCAGTGGGCAAGCTAGCAGAAGATGGTGTAGCATGGAACATTACTGGCAACGAAACTCGCCTACCTAGAAGGGCTGACATAATCAGTACTGCTTGGGCTGCAAGTTGTTGAGCTGCTCCTACTGGAGGCAAGCCCCAATTGCTGTGTTATTGTATTATGGCATTGTGTAGATTAATTATTTGTATATCCATTTGCTATTGATGCCATAACAATGTCTTGTTCTGAGAACATCAGGGTGTCCTTCGGATCTGTTGCCAACTTTAAAATCTAATAGCAAGGTTTGATGCCTTTCTGATGAAAGAGCAGTGAGGCTTTCAGGATTGGTATCAGCCCTTTGAAATAGGCCAGGTCAAGAAACAGACACCACAGGGATTCCAGGAATGCTATTTTATTGTAGTGAGGTAGAATAACAGAATCTTGAAACCCCATCAGAGTATCTCTCTGCCCTGTTTTATAGCAGACAAAATCACAGTGGAGTTATTTCAGGTTTCTTCCTCATGCTTTCCATATTCGCAGGACTGAGTTGCCCTTTCTCTTCCCTTAACAAATTATGCCTTCCTTTCCCGAAGTCGTTCCTTTACAGGGAGAGATGGCTACACTGACTCTTAGAAGCTTTCCATGAAGGCTTCCTATGCAGCTAAATGGAAACCTTTTGAAGACTTCACTTGGAAACAAGTTTAATCCCTGAATTATCAAGTTCATCATGTTCTGACCCTTTCCTCTCTTTAGTATTATCTCCTTGTTTGTTTGTTTGTTTTTTCCCAAACTCTTTTCTCTGACCTACAGAAGCATTTCATGAAAGGCCTAACCATGTATCTATTTTAAAGCATCTCTTCCACTTTTGGCCTGAGGCCTCTGTCTTGTTCTCTCTGTTACCACCCAGTTCTCTCATGAATGGTAGTCTTTTTGGTAGCCATGGCATTGGCCTGTCAACCTGGCCTGTCAAACTGTTGCCTTATAATCCTGCCCCCCTTCACCCAGGTATTTCCTTCTTTCTAAAGTCAGTATTGGCCTTCTCCTTGGATCAAGTTATGTTTTTCCCCACCGTCTCAGCCACCTTTGGAAACATTGCTTCTTTTTCTGGCTGTCTGCTGCACTGACTTTTTACTTGGACTATTTGGTATCATTTCATTGGAACCAGTGCTTATTCCTGGCCTTGCAAGGCCAGTCTTAAAGGCATGATCTCCCCTTCAGCCTTTCTCCAAATGGATAGTGACAGCCATCAGGCTGTGCTGTGGACTGGCCAGACAGCCACATCCACTTCCAGTCTGTGCTCACTCCTCAAGAGCAGTGGCAGCACCAGCACCCTTCCTAGTCACAGACCAACTCTTCCTCCCTTACAGCTCCGGCTGGAACAACCACTTAATGTAACTTGTAATGCTTTACAAATGTCAGTAACTATGCAAAGTAAGGAACCTATCCTCACTTTTCCCCAACTGTTAAAATGGCCAGTATCAATAGTCAATGAAAGTACTTGGATCTAGTCAAAGCTTTTATTTTTATGATATTATATATTAAAATGCTGACTTTTATATAGCCATGCAACATAGGAAAAAGAAACGTCTGGGTTTTTTTAGTCTGTTCCAGGCTGACCTCATATTTTACAGTTAAATGATGACTTGCCTAATAAAATATCTCATGCTTTTCAGGTTCGGTTGTATCATCTTTCAGTGATCGGAAAGCAGAACTTTCTAGTATATACCATCAAAGACCTGTTGATGTGGTTTATAACCCATTCTATATGCAACTGCCACCTCTTTCTCCGGATCTCGATCAGTGCCACACAGAAAAAGTAGTGAATAGGAGATTATATGGATCAGGTAAAAGAATTAGTTGTAATATTATGCATTTTCCCCACTTTAAAACATGGAATTAAAAGGCAGCATGACACTGGATGTCTTCTGAATTCTGCCCTTTTATATTAGTTATGAATAAAATGAGCCTGCATTAAACCAGAAAAGCAAAAATGAATATTTTTTAAAATAATTAAGTTAATTATTTAAGAGCAGCTTTACTTGAGGGGATTAAACCTATTTAGTATTTATATGTATTGCATTTCTTTGAAAGCAAAAGCAGAAGCTGCAGATATTGTCTAGAGAAGAAAATAGTTTAAGGAGGTTGCTATTTGACACAGACGAATGACGCAGATGAAGTATGGAAAGGTCCAAACACAATTAAATTATTTTGCTTGAGGGGTTAATCAATGAATAGATTTTCACAAGCATGCTGTAACTCATGAGAGCCAGTTTGGTGTAGTGGTTAAGGCACCAGGCTAGAAACTGGGAGACCGTGTGTTCTACTCTTGCCGTAGGCACAAAGCCAGTTGGGAGACCTTGGGCCAGTCCGTCTTTGTCAGTCCTAGGAAGAAGGTAAGGGCAAACCACTTCTGAAAAATGTTGCCAAGAAAACTGCATGGACTTGTCCAGATAGTCACCTGGAATCAACACTGACTTGAAGGCGAAAGGGAGGGAAGGAGGCAGGGGGGAATAGATACATACACTGTAAGACTCCAGTGTTTTTCTCAGATCACGGATGTCCACAGGGAGGGGGTCAAAAAAGTCAAGAGGGCAGCCACAACCATGTGACCCCACATCTTTTTTACATGTGTTGCTTTTACCCCATGGGTGTGGATGCTCTCTTGACTTTTTTGACCCTGTGCCGGTAGACATCTCTGCCTCAGATTCTCAGAACAGTTCTTGTTGCTTGGGAAACAGGAACAATTGTTACACATGAGGTAGCCGTAAAGTGATCAGTCAGAATTAATTATCTCTGTGTGAATATAAATCAATAAAAAGGAATTGAAGCTGCACAAGATCACAAGAGATGTTTTAGCATTTCTTTCATTTTGATGGGACTGTGTAGAAAAACTTTTCATTGGGTTATGCTATATAAAATAGGAGTCATTCTAATTTGCATTTGGTTCATCAGAAGAAGGCAGAACTTGCTGAGCATAAAACAAAATATGTGCATCTTAAGAATTTTGTACTGAAGTCAGGATAAAACGTGCTGTGTTTCTGCTCTTGGAATCAAATGTAGATATTTTGTGTGGTATCATCTTTGATTTTTCTAGCCGCTAGAGCAGAACTGTTACTTTCTGGCCTGTATTTGGGTTGCTTTCTTTTCAAATGTTTTCCAGCCTAGCTAGTATAGCAGTGGTCACAGGTACCTGCTTTTGCTTGCTGCTCATAGAGCCTTTGACAGGACTTCTTGTTAGCTTGCTGACTTTTTTGCTTCTTGCCATTGCAGTCTTGTGCCACAGAGTCATGTTCATTCATGCAGGAGTTACAGGTGTAGCTCTCTCTGTCCTGTGTTACTGTCTTGGTAGGGGAGATTTGAGGGAATGCAAGGGATCCAAGGGAAAACTCCCCCGATCATAAAGCTGGGCAGAGTCCTTTTCCAATAAAAGATTCAACCTCTGCTTCAGTTCTAGTCTTTGGGAGATTTTCATGTTTTGTTTTGTCTTGTTTTTAAAAAGAATAACCTAGTTGGCAATTATGCTTCCAATTGTGTGTCCAGTAGCAGTCAGCATAGACAGCCACCTGACCTACTTTTGCAGCACTAAAATAAAAAACAAGGGAGTAAGGCTCTAGTCTTCAGTTCCCATTGTTTGGTATGGCTAGAACATTAGAAATCAGGAAGAATCTGGTAGCATCTTTTCTGACTAACAGCTTCTATTAAAAGGCACACGCTTTTGTGAGCTACAGCTCACTTTATCAAACTTTTAATAATATTAGTCGGAAAAGGTGCTACTAAACTCCTTCTGATTTTTTGCCCCCATAGACGAACACAGCTCTCCTCCTGTAATGTCTGGAATATTAGAAATGTCTGGTTTTCTTCCAATGAAGTGCAGTCAACTTGTAACATTTCAGGAGGTGATGTTTTGCTCTGACTTCTAAACAAAATATGTTTCCTGTATTCCTATTTGTGATTGTCTAAATAAACCAGAGGTAGACCTCTCTGTTCTTAGGAAGTGATAGCAGTTCCTCACTTGCTTATGAATCGAATTTCTTAAATTTGTAACTGCTTATGACAATCTCATCTGGTATAGAATAAAAAAAACTAAATTGTTCTTGAAATTTCAGGAGGGCCTTGCCTTTGTTTCTTTTTTTCAGTTTGTGACCTAAGAAGTAGCACATTGCCCTGCTCTTCCTCTCTAAGTCATTCTATGTTTGATCTTACAAGTCCACCCCACCGATTTGTTCAGGTAAATTCTTTGGTGTTAATATGGTACCAAGCTTTATTAATAATTGTGAGTGACTGATTAACTCCTTGAGAAATTGCTTTCTTTCTCATGCCTAGTTCAGTGTTTCCAAGTGTACTTCTTAAGTAAATGTTGGTGACTGGCCTATCAAAATATTGCACGTAATTAACAAAGGCTTTTACATCCAATTCAGTATCTCCCTTGGGTAAATATTTTGCCATTTCTGTCACTGTGCACTGGGATAAGATTTTGGGAGCTTTTTAAACTGGTTCAGAGATCTAGTTATGTGCTTCTCTCTGGTCAGTGCCCAGCTATGGATTGTGGAAATAAGTGGCTGGGTATCCATTTGGGGAACCTGCTTTTCTTCTCTGTATTAAGAAATCAAGAGGCCTAATGCCTCTTGGGGCATTATTACAAGCCGAGTATGTAGTTACTGAATGGAAAAAGTATTTATTTGTATCATGTATTCAGATATAGAGATGTTACAAGTTAACTTTAGTCAGTTCAGTAGCAACAGTTCAATAACACCATAGATCAATACCAAGGCCTTATGTTCCTCCTTGAAGGAGATCACAGTGTGGTCATTCTTGAAAAGAGCTCTCTGGATCCTGAGGTTTTAGACATCTACCATGCAGTTGCAAATACTTATTCCTTGGGCATGGGTATCAGTAGAGCAACTTAGTGGATTGGGATCTGGAAATAGAACGGAAAGACCTCTTCCAAAGGTGGCAGAAATCTGTTTGGCCTCCTGGTGCTTGACTTCTAGAGTCCCATTCTTTCTCCCTGCTGGTAAATATCTATATCAAAGCACTGGGGCATCATCCAGAGATTTGGCATTCATGCTGATGATACCTCTGTAGGTTGCAGGGTTTCTGATATTTAAAAAACCCCCAGGGACTTAAGCGAGATTTCAGTGGTTTTTTCTGATTCCTAGATTTTACAGTAAAACAAACTTTTTAAAAAATTCTAAACTATTGACTGACTTTGATAGTTGGTGGTATAAAAAGACTAATAGAATTATATTTTTAAAGGCCTACTGTTTTCATAATAGTTCCTTTCTTGCTATTTAGGGAACAATTTGACAGACTGTATGAGCTTGCTTAAGTGGTCTTTTTGTTTTTGTTTTGTTTTGTTTTGTTTTTTGTTAACTAATCAGGCTTTTTTTTTTTTTTTGGGGCTGATAGAGGTATGATTCCACCTCCAGTGTACCAAGCAGCATATCCTCCAGAAAGGATTCACAAGGTAGTAACAGGAGTTTAGGTAATGAACACTGTTTGCTCATCTTCCTTCAAATCTGGTAAACTGAATCTTTAGACATAACATCAAAAGTATATATATTTTACTACTGTCACCAATGCAGATACAGGGTTGCTTTCATCAATTTTGGAAAGCACACTTGCCCTTAAAAAACATAGAAGGTCAGAGTAATCATATGATCAGAGTGGTCTGTGAACTCCAGGACTACCTTGTACAAATATGCTAAAGATATAGGCCAATATAGGTACTACATTATGTTTTTATAAAATTAAAATATATTTTGAGTCGGAAGTTCCAGAATTTCTGTTATACTTCTACTTTCTATTAGAAATGGAGGTTACACTGGTAATAACAGTTAAAGAGTGGACTTCATTGGAAGAAAGATACAGGTTGGAATTAGTTATGGCCTTAAACTTAAGTTGATTGAACCCAACAAGCATAAGACCCAGTTAAAATGTGTTGCATCATTTCCTAGACTACAGTACTTGATATAATAAATAGAAACATGAAGTTATGTTTTTTAATCCTCTGTATTAAAAAAAGAAAGAAGCCCCTCTACCTTTAATGGAATGCTAACATATCCAGAATAGAGGATTTTCATAAAGGCTTTTTTGCTGACTTACTTATTTTCCACATGGAAAGCTCTTTACCTATTCATATATATATTCAAATATGTAATTACAATATGAATTGCTAAAATGTGGAATGGCTGAACTATATACTCTCTTCCGAAGTCAACACTTTTTTCAAGTGGAAAGAAATGATTGGAAATTCTGAGTGGTTAGAGAAAAAGAGGTTCAAGGATGGGAAACACTGAAGCAAAAAGCTCTATCGATAGGAAATAGGCAGGCAAATGTTGAATACTAAGTGAGGGTACCAGTTGGAAAATAATGGGGTTAAGGAAGTGAAATGACTTTCCAATTGAAGCTCATGAAGTCACTGCTCCAAAGCTGACACCAAGGAAGCAAGCATTCTGTTGGTGTAAAGAAATATTCCTCACACTGGAGCGAACTTGGTTAAATGTGTTTGTGATACAGTGCAACCTGTGTAAATCATCCTGGCTGAGAATTCTGGGAATTACAGCCCTGTCACATCTGAAAAGTGGCAGATCAGAGAAGGTTGTTGTAGGCTAAAGAAAGCACCTTCAGAAGCTAAACACGGTATAGTGTTTGGATTCATTTGCCACTTATTTTCTGGCATTGGTCCTGTGCCTTTTAGCATAAACTTTGCTTGGCAGAGTGATGCAACACTGGTGAAAAGGTTAATCTCTCCTGTCCTACTAGCGCAGATGTATGCCAAAGAAGAATGTTGGCAATCCAGTATCTTGTTAATGTAGTTTTGAGACACTTGTATGATGCATTTACGTAGGATTAATCATAAACAGCTGAAACCTTGACAAATTTGATTTGTATCAAATACATATATTTCCTTGTACGTAATAGCTGATATGTATGTATCCTGGCAATAGGGAGAAATATTTAAGTAATGAGAACAGGCTTTTAAAAAGTAGTCTGAGTTCACTGGATAAAATAATGTTTTTTCAGCCTTTGAGAACAAGTTCCAAAAGTGTTTTTGGATTTATCCCCAGATACGATTACATTGTCAGGTGACGAAAGAGAATTTGGCAGGCTGAATGTGAAGGTGTGCTATGTTTTTTCTGTTGAGCAGATATGGATCACCATTTTGAAAGTAAGTAATCCTGAAAAGCATTCAGTTACTAGGTCCTGAATGGTTATATTAGGGGCATTGGGGAAAAATCTAGTTTATACCCCAAACTCACCTGTTAGGCAAGAACTATTAGATGGACAAAGAAACTTCCTTCTAAAAGCCACAGTGGCTCAATGTACTGTTGAATAAAAACTGGAGTGTAACCTGCTCATGGAACCTCTTACTGGGCAGTTCAAATCAAACTGACAAATAACATGTGTGGCTTTTCTTTTACTTTGTCTAGGCCTAATTTAATCGCACTTTAGCTAGGTTTGATTCAAGACTGGTGCATCTGGCTCCTGTACAAAAAATAGAAAAAGCCACCGGAATGCTTAATAAAGTGTTTTAAATGATAATCATTTTAAATAAAACAATGAAAATATATTTATGATTTGCACTAATCATTATACAGTATTTCCCAATATCTCATTCAGCTCCTCTTTTTATGCCTTTTTATATTGAGCAATACATACTGATTATAGAAACACACACACCCGTGCATTCTCACATACTGTCTCTTTCTCTCTGTGTAATCTGATACACATCTTGTGCACGTCTGGGAATTACAGACATTGGACTTAATGGCACTTTTTATTATAGATCGTAGAATGTCATTTTTAATCTAGCTAGATTTTAGTAGCAATAAAGAATATAACATACAAAGCTGCTTTATATTGAGTCAGAACATTGCTCTGGATGTAGATGTAAAACTAGAGTTTTGCTAATACAGTGGTACCTTGGGTTACGAACGCCTCTGTTAACGAATTTTTCGGGTTACGACCAGCCCCGGTCGCAAAAATTTACCTCGGTTTGCGCACTCCGCCTCGGGGTACGAACAGGATACACGGCCATTTTTCCGCCCCTGACATGTGGTCCGCGGCCATTTTTCCACCCCTGACACAAGGTCCGCGGCCATTTTTCCGCCCCTGACACATGGTCCGCGGCCATTTTTCCGCCCCTGACACATGGTCCGCGGCCATTTTTCCACCCCTGACACGTCCGCGGCCATTTTCCGCCCCCGACACGTGGTCCGTGGCCATTTTTCCGCCCCCGACACGTGGTCCGCAGCCATTTTTCCACCCCTGACACGTGG